TGGGGTATAGAAATTAACTTTCATAATGAAAGTGAAGTGCAATCAAACCATTGTTAGGCCTATACGATTGATCAGATCAGATGATTTTTACTCAGTGGAAGCTTCAACTGTTTTTGATGATCTGATGATTATTTCACTGTGTTCAAAACGTGCAACTTATACCATAGCGTCGTGGACTTCAAATCGGGAAAGTCAAACACATGCAATTCATTTCAGACATAGCTTCACCCATTTTGGTGTGCCTCTGTAAGATTAACCATAGGCAACTCGAGACATTGAAAAATCGACATGTTATCGTGATTTGGTTAATGTTCAGAAGACTTTGCAACTATAAAAGGTGAAATTAATGTCTAATTCTTTCGAGTGATAGTTTTTTATACACCTAACTGACTGGTAAAGGCTTGCTTAACTAACCTAATGAAAAAAGTCCATATGACTTCAGACAACTAAAATTTCAAGCCTTTTTTGCAACTGATAAATGAACACGGATAACTCCATGCAGTAATCAATGAATACATTTTCGCAGCTCAACGGCCCTGTCCAAATTTGTTTTATATGCACTGACTAGAACACGGGGCCCCGTTTTTTTTTGTTCCATCTGAACGTCTGCTGCTTTTTATCGTTATACCCCGACCTGTATAGGCTATCACTTGGAAAACAGCAATATATGTTGTAATATTGTTTTATTTTGTCAGTTCTTCAATTTTTTAAGTACAGCATTTTTAGGACTCTGAATTTTTTGTTTTGACGTAGACCTACTCCATCAAAAAAATACAATAACCTTCTCACCCATTTCTACTTTTCCCGATTACATTATAGGTAGTAAAATTAAAACGTCAGTTTTGCTTATTGTATTCAAGTCATATATGAAGGCGGAATTATTTAAGAGGTGATTTGTCTAATGGTTTGCCCCAAGGCTGAACTCTGACACCGTCTCTCTTGTTAGGCCTATACACAGAGAATATTGAAGGTAAGAACAAGTATTATAATTTTCTCTTTACATCTATCACTTTAAATATCAATATTATAATTATAAATAACTGTTTGGGTCATAAATTTCTTCTATTCAAATTCCATTTAAATCATCTATTGCGAAAGAGAATCAACGTCCTACCATAGTGAAAATCCAAGACGAATTTGGGTGCGTATGGTCATGTTGTTGGGATATTTAACCGAACACCTATATGCTGCAAACCTTGTAAGTCTATGATCTCTCAATCACAGAAAAATGAAGAAGTAAAAAGGGTAATGTCTTGTCCTTGCAAACGTTTACTTCTTTGGCCTGAATGTGGTTGCCCAACTTCCTGAACCGAAGCAGAGAAAGAAAATTAGTAAGAAGTTAAAATTTCTTTTCAGATGTTACCAGTGAGGGTCAATTGGGTCACTATTTTTCTACTCATTACACATGGTAATTATAATCTTTTGAGTTAATAATGATGATTGAAACAGATTGGAGCTTGGAAGCTGGCTATACAGCTTGACACACAAAAAGTGGTTTGTTTTTCGTGTCCATTTTGCAAAGAATTTACCCAAAGATCTATAACTGACATATTTCTTTTGTTAAGGTGCAGCACAAATTTTTCAGCCTCAATTTGTCAATGGTAAGTATCTGATACTTTCTGAGATTATTTCTATTCATTATTTAAACACAGCTTAATCTAATGAACTTAAATCTTACCATGATACGTTGGTTAATTATATATCAAATGAATTGTTTTCATCTTGCTCTGAAATCTCACATGGCATGTTTGGTTTGTTCCTGTGAAATCTCACATGTTTGACTTATTTCTCTGAAATTTCACATGACATGTTTGGTTTGTTTCTCTTAAATCTCACATGGCATGTTGTGTTTGTTTCCCTAAAATCTCACATGGCATGTTTGGTTGAAATCTCACATGACATGTTTGGTTTGTTTCTCTGAAATTCCACATGGTATGTTTGGTTTGTTTCTCTGAAATTTCACATGACATGTAAGATTGTTTGCCTGAAATCTCTCATGACATGTAAGATTTTGCCTTAAATCTCTCATGACATGTTTCGTTTGTTTCTCTGAAATCTCACATGGCATGTTTGGCAGTTTCTCTGAAATTTCGATGACATGTTTGGTTTGTTTCTCTGAAATCTCGATGACATGTTTGGTTTGTTTCTCTGAAATCTCACATGGCATGTTTGGTTTGTTTATATGAAATCTCACATGGCATGTTTGGTTTGTTTCTCTGAAATCTCACTTTGCATGTTTGGTTTCTTTCTATGATATCTCACATCGCATGTTTGTCAGTTTCTCTGAAATATCGATGACATGTTTGCTTTGTTTCTCTGAAATCTCGATGACATGTTTTGTTTGTTTCTCTGAAATCTCACATGGCATGTTTGGTTTGTTTATATGAAATCTCACATGGCATGTTTGGTTTGTTTCTCTGAAATCTCACTTTGCATGTTTGGTTTCTTTCTATGATATCTCACATCGCATGTTTGGTTTGTTTCTCTGAAATCTCGATGACATGTTTGGTTTATTTCTCTGAAATCTCGATGACATGTTTGGTTTGTTTCTCTGAAATCTCACATGGCATGTTTGGTTTGTTTATATGAAATCTCACATGGCATGTTTGGTTGTTTCTTTGACATCACACATTGCTTTTAAGACTTTGAAATTTTGGTTATTCCTCTGAAAACAAAATCCCTGGCAACCTGTTTTAATTTATATGTTTGTGTTTCTCAAATAACATGTGTTTTTTTTTTTTGGTATGAATATGGCGATACAGAGTTCCACAAGCTGAGTCTTATTGCTTCAGGGCTATTAATTATATCAATCATTTGAAGCACTTAAAAAGAGTAAATTAACTAGCTTTTTTCTCTCTTTTATTTCAGGAAATTTTCCAATAATTGTACCTCTTCCAACAAACAATGACCTACACAATCATGCTTCAGTATCTCATTCACACACTGGCCAAACACAGCATGCTCACCACAATCTGCTAATGACAAACCAACCAAACTCGCCTACTCACAGACATGGGTCAATGGTCCACTCTCATTCTGGTGCACCGATACACTCTCACGCCAATTTACCCCAATCTATCGATGTCCAGCAACTAGGAAATCTACATACACATGGATCTGTGACTCATGCCCATGGTGGCCCGACCATTCATTACCATCAAAATTTACCTATGTCTAGTCAAAACCTCAACTTAAATACTCGACAAGCTGTAGCACAAGGTGTGCTTGATAATCAAAACATTCACAGTCACGGGAATGTTGTTCATTCACATGACGGACCAAGAGTACATTCTCATCCCACCAAAGACAATCTAAATACACCAAATACACACAGTCATGGTAGTACAATACATGCCCACGGTGGCCCAAGAGAACATTCCCACACCAGCATGCATGATTCCATGTCTAATGTACCAAGGAGTCACAGTCATGGTAGCATTGTGCAATCACATCCCGGACCTCGGGAACATACACTTCCCAATACACGCGGTTCTGTTGGGCAAAATGATCATGCTCACACCAACCTCCCAACTTCTAATATGAATCACCATTTACACCAGAACTTGAAAAGAATGGATGTATTAACTGGAACTCCTCGGCAGTGGCACAGTGAGTGATAATTTTAATATCAAATTAGCGTTATTATCTATGTGGAGTTTGTTGCATTCCAAATCGTGGTCCTATCAGACGTTATTGAGGGAAGTTTTTTGACGAAGTTTTCACTGTTTTTTTTTTACTGTGCCACTTTTTTCCATGTGCTAAATGTTGAATTGGTAATGAACTTGTATCTATTCAGCTAATGGCCAATTATTTCTGCAGCTATTTATATGACATCATAAACTGTAATATCATTTCATAAAACAAACAGGCACGGCTGTTATCATTTTACATGTAATTATATTTCGCAGCACAGAACCTCTGGAATAATAATGGAAATTCACCAAGAGATGAAGCATTCCGAAAACTTCTTCAAACGAAAGGTTTTTCCTCCTCAAGACAAGGTCGGAGACCTATTCGACCAAATTACCAATTAGCTGGCGGTGCTAGTTGTCAAAATCAGTGCCAAAATGGCCTGGCCTCCAGATCTTGTTACTGTACTAGATACATGTGCTATGTAAGTTTAAGTACCTTCTACTTACCATGTAATTGGTAGAAACACATATTCACCACGGCGAAAAAGACTATTTTATGAATGGATTTTCTTACCGAGCGCATATTATGAGAAGTAGTTGTCGCGTTCTTTACTTGTTTCACTTATTAGGCTAATATTAGGCTAAAGTAAACCCGGTACTAATGTCAAAGGGTGGAAAATACATTGTCAATTGGTTGGTGTGGCCAATCTTCATCAAATCAAATGCCATTCTACAAGTGAGTTTGCCAAATCGACAACTTTTTTCGTAGTCACACAACTAACAGTGTTACTTATTTTGATTTATTACAGTATCAAGGATGTTCTTCAAGTTGTGACCTCATTCGGGAAGGTACAAATATTCGAGCAGAGTGCCAACAACCCAGAACTGTGGCATCAAATGACCTTAATACACCTAGTAAGTAGTGATTCCTACATTTATTTGATTTTAATTCTACATTCTAATATGAATTCAAGCACAGAAACTAGAAACCGTTCATCAAAAAACATCCTGAAATTCCTTTATTTCCTCTAACGTTCTAAGGATTCAAACATCAAAATATAACAAGTAGCATCGCTTCCATCTTATCCTTGGAAGCCGCGGAGACTCAGTGAGTTAGACGCTTGGTCGCTAAACTGAAAATCCAGGGTTCAATAAAGACATAGGTCGAGCTCATACCTTCGGCCCCGTGAGCTACAGATTGTGCACGTTAAAGACAGATGGAAATCGAAAAAGCTAATGATGCTGTCCTGGCTAAACTCCCCTCATTGCACTGTATGGCGTTGCCCGTCCACACGGTGCAGAAAAGTACGACGTAAAACTCATTTCATTTCCTTCTTTTCCATCTGGACGAAACGTTTGGTTCTCAAAATGTTATTTTTTATTCCAGAATGTCAACAACCCATAGATCCAGGCACTTGTAACTCACGATTATACACCAGATACGCTTTTGATTCTCAATCTCAGACTTGTGTTAGGTTTATCTATAGTGGATGCGGTGGCAATAAGAACAGATTCACATCTCGTAATGCATGTATAAATGCATGCGCTCTATAGATGATGCGATTCTATATACCTTTTTCATATAACTTATGTAATAAAAATTATCATATATATCCACATTTTTATACGCCCACATGAATATGTGGTAGTATATTGTTGTTGCCCCTGTCCGTCGGTCCGTCCGTCAACATTTCTTGTGAGCACTATAGAGACTACAGTTTTTATCTGATTTTGATAAAACTTGGTGTGATGCTTTAGATTGATAAGATCTCGGTCAAGTTCGAATTTGACATATTTTCGATGAATGGTTTTTGAGTTATTGCCCTTGACTTTGTTAAAACGTGTTGAAATTTGTTAAAAAATAGTTCGTGAGCAGGATTGAAACTTGGTGTGATCATTGGAATTGATAACAAGTTCTAACTTGACGCATTTTCGATGAAATGTTTTCGAGTTATTGCCCTTGACTTTGTTAAAACGTGTCAAAATTGGTTTGTGAGCACAATAGAAGCTACAGTTTTCAACCGATTTTGATGAAACTTGGTGTTATCATTGGAATTGATAAGATCTCGGACAAGTTCTAACACGAGATATTTTTGATGAACATTTTTTGAGTTATTGCCCTTGACTTTGTAAACACGCGTCAAAAGTTGTTTTTTGCCCTTGATTAGAGCTGAGTGATTTAATTGTTTGTTGTATTTGGTTTCGGGAAAGGGAGGGTTTGATTCTCCCAAATGTACAGGCATAGGGTGGAGCAGACACTTTATTTAGAAATTAGGATTAAGGGTCTTGATATTGGGTTTTCTTCTGTTCTTATTCTGATCTGAAATTAGAAAAAATAACTCGCCCGATGGGCGAGAAGTATAGTATCTGTTATGTACTGATTGTTTTTAGTTTACTATGAACAATATCATTTAAGTTCTTATTTTTTGAATATGCAACTATCATTTTCTGCTTATAGACATGGGGTAAATAATACTATAATGTAAATCTCTAATATTATTTCTAAATTTGGTCAATGTGGATAACTAAGGGATTTATTAAAAATCGGCAGACACATTCTTCTGTTGAACTTTATCCCAAGATTTGAAAGAGAATTCCTCTTAACAAAGACACAAGGGTTTCCCACCTGCTTTCCTCAACAAGACCTGTTTGTTGAATACCCATATCTTCAGGGTAAATTACAAGCTGTACCAGAGGCAATATAACAGTAGTCTATGACTGAACCAATGGCCTGTAGACCTCCAATAAAGCTTCTCGATGGGGGTACATGAAACCTAGACATAACATTTACGATTTACACGTCTTCAGATAAATTCACTGCGTTTAAACAACCTCAAATTATTGCTAAAGTGTATTTTCAGGAACTGATCTGAATTTTTGATTCTTAATCTTTACACCATTAAATCTGAAATCAATAATATTGTTGACCTTCTTCCTACTGCAGAATATCTCTACGAATTTCAGCCGCGAAATAATGAAACAATTTGTTTCGGAGTTAGGTTGAAGTGGTTGTAAAACGATATAATTGAAATTAGCCTATGAAAGCACAGGCCTAGGAGAAAAAATTCAGCAACACCAATAACTTATGTGCAGAAAAAAGTGGCGAAAAAAATAATTATATAATGTATATCAGGTACCGAAACAAAAAACGTTTTCTGAAACTTATAGATAAATTGAAATTAAATCAGTTAGGATAACCGGCTCCTGTGATTGGTCGTTGATCAGGATGAGGGTAAGGGGACAGTGAGTGGTTCTCAGTAAAAGAATTAACTAAATCCACCTGCATCTGGCGATCCGTTGTAGAGTCTTGGATCCACCGGATCTTGGCGAGCTTATTAATTACGCACCATGAACCCCATTAAAAGCCAACAATAGCATCATTCTTAACATTATTACTACCGAAATCAAAGCTGTCCTTTACGTTATTAGGTGGGTGGTTGTGACTCAACCTAAAACGATTACTGTGTCGGTTGTCACTGGAAAGTATAAGAAATACTCCCTTCCGGAGCACCCGGTGACATTAAGAATACCCTTCTGGGAGTTGTATGAACAGACTGGGAACAGACTGCCAATTATGATGAGACTCTTTGGTAAAGTTCTATCAATACGCCAGAACACAAATCGTCTACAATTAAAAAGAAATGGTCGCCAAATTGGTGATCCCATAACAAGGTGACCTCGGATTGTCGTATTAGATGGCACGTTTAAACGCCATAACCATTCTAACTTTTCATTCCAATAATAAATTTGGGCGTGGTTAATGGTTTATCAACTATTGCTATCCCACTTCATTGAGAAATTGTTTAAGAAAGGGTAGGGTTGCTTGAGATAAAAGTCATCAATATCGAGATCAATATGGAGACACCATCCTATATTTTAAATAGTTATTCTAATCATTCCATCCCATAGTATACAATTGTTCGCCAATAGAACATAGTGCGAAAAACATTGTTACATCTTTTTGATTGATTGGCCTAATAATAAAGCTACCAAAAATAAATACCTAATAAAAATAAATAAACGTCAGTTAAAAAAAACGGTATATAACTAGCGATTGGTGAAATGTATTATTCAAAATCTCTCTTCAATTAATCAAATATGTTTCCTTTACGACATAGCTATGCTCGTCATTACACCTATCCATCATTACTCCTCTATCTTCAACTTTTATCTTCAACTAGCTCACTCATTGAACAGTTATCCTCTGGGCATCATATCATCACATCAAACAAAGAATCATACTTCTATTATTTTGTAAGTTATTGTCTATTCTTTACTGTATGTCATATTTTTATTTACCTTGTCTCGTATTCGCACTAAGTTTGAACATTTATAACAATTTGTCATAGAATTATATTCCTTCACTTATATACTGATGAGGGTTCATCAAGAGAGAGTTGTCTCGCTTAAGATAACTTCTTGCGACATGAAGTGAGATGAGTAATTGTTATCTGAAGGGGATTCAAGACATGGTCTACAAACCTACTGACTTGATGTGCACGGCATTTCCTTTCGTGACCTTGTAGATATATGATTAAGTTCTTTTATCTTGCCGCTATACGTAATATCAGCAATCAGTTGGAAAGGTGCAAACGGACTGGTCAATTATTAGATTTGTCCACATTTACAACATTAGCTTGGTTGACATTCATCTTGTACAACCTTGACGTCACACTAGGATAATACCCATCAATTAAAGTCACAACATTCTTGCCCCGAAAAATTAGAGTAATGATATTAATTTCATCCGACGACATTTCCCCCCTCAGACATCACATTATTTTTCTTTTAACGTATGATAAACAACCCGGTACTTATAGGCTACATAAACAAGAGTTTACTCTAAAATCTTGTCATTCAATATTTTGTTATTGTAGGAAATGTTCAAATATCTAGGATTAGCAGTGATTCTTTGTGGATTTCCATCATCATCTTCACATTGTAAGTAAATTCTAAACTCAAGTGGTTTATGTACATAAAAATTATACAAGAATTGTTTGGTCATGCTAATAAACCTCGGTCTTACAGTGAAGTATCTTGGAGCAATGTTCCATTTTATTCATTAATGTGTAAATGCCTACATCACCACATCTCTTCCCAAATCTCTTCCTAAAAACATCTCAATTGTTTGAACTCATACGACCCATTTTTTGTAAACATATAACCTTTGAATATTTAATTTATTTCTGTGAATTTCAGTTTATTTTGATTCGGGGTTTAGAGAAACCAGATCTGTACAAAGTAACGGGGGTCATTCACCACTTGTAAATTTCTTCAACCCGTTCAATTTATACCCGTCTCTGTCATCTCAGTATCTTCAAGCTCAAAGAGATTTACAGAATAGCAACCGGAGGAGGTATCGGCACCCAGGCATAATTAGAGTTAAACCCGTTATTAAAGAACCGGAAGTGCTACCTGACCCAGCTCATGGTCATCACACTGAACCTCATATTGGTAGGTACTGAACCTGGTTATGGGGTTGTGGTTAGTAAATTGCAAAAACCGCGAACCATTTAAAAGTAACTCAACATCCGTTTCATACAGTTCTCCTTGTAGTTGTGATGGTCCATTATCATAAATCGATTTTTGTAATTAAATATTAAAGGTTTTAATTAGATTATTTTACATCTGTAGATCCACTGCCACCAATTTCACAACCAGAGCCCAAACCTGAACCTCAACCATCACCAGTCGTACAACCCACGGAACCTTTAGATACAGATCCAGAATGTATTCAAGGATGTGAAGTCAACATAGCTCCTGAAAAATGTCATTGTGCTGCTCATTTATGTGATGTAAGTTATCCTTTTCAAATTATAAAAATTACAGCAAAAAGTATTTACTGTTGTTTCTCACAACCCACGAGGTTAATGATAATATTTAATATAAATAAATGAAAAATGTTCAGATGATTAGAAATGCATCTACAGATAAATAATGTATTTCTATGTACGCCGTATCACAACTGGGCTTTTTTTCTTTCAGACATTAACATGTACAGGTGGTAATGCTTGTCGTCTGGTAACAGTTGGTGGTTTAGTTGAAGGAACATGCTTACCAATCGATTCTATCACCGGAATAGCTCCTGGCCAAAATGAAATCACACATAGTCTTTCTGGTGAGCTAACTTACATCTATGTACATACACTATCTTGACTTTCATATGATATGTATATAGCACTATGTAATTCAATTACAGAGAATGTTCTGTCGTGTGTAGGGGTTGAAAATCTACACCGATCCGCCTCTCGCGAGCACTAACATTGCGTACCATCAGGGTTTTTCATACTCTAAACATACATCATAAAGAAGTTGAAGATTTAAGACAGTTTTGTTTTAGACGCTTGAAGTTACCTTTAGATAAACCTGATTTATTTTCTTTGGTGCGATGATTGTTTTTAGTTAGCAGAATGATATTTTATACTGTGGATAAGCGGAACTCATCAACTAATCTTAATTCGTGATACTGTTGACAGATCGACGTGGTTGTCTGAACCGGGATATTTCAATTTCTCTCTTTCTGATTTGCTAACTTAACTGAAGTATTTTTTTTCTATTTCAGGATGTGGTTTAAGTTTAAACCAAGGTACACCTTGTGGACGAGGACCAATTCAAAGATTTTATTTTGATTTAAATACACAGTCTTGTCTTCCATTTCAATATTCTGGTTGTGGTGGTAATGATAATAATTATGATTCTGTAACAACTTGTGAGACCACCTGTCAATCACAGCATATAGCACCTGGTATTATTGATCACCATAATTCACCAACTGGTTCCCACCCAAAAGTTTCACATGGTCATTCTCATCCAGATCATATAGAACCAGTTGGAACACATGGTCATGAACATCCAGTTACAGGTAATTCAAATTTTACAGGTCTCTGCACAATAAAATATTTATTCACTCGTTGAAACGGGAAACATTCTACAATAATACAAAATATTCAAAAAGAATATGTTCGATATATGGCTGTAGGAAAACTTATCCAAAACTCGTATTCAAATGTTTTGGAATACATTATGAACAAAACTTTGTCAAAGGGAATGTGTTTTTAAGCCGGAGAAAACTTGTGGGTTTTGTTCGAGACATGCCCAGCACTTTACCAAAAAGAAAGTAAATGAAATTGATAAAAAAAAAAGCAATAGAAACACATCAGTTGTATGAATATTACAAAGAGTTAATAGCGATTCCATTATTTTACAGATCATCATGAACCTGTTCCTAAAGCAGAACCTCAAACACCAGTCGTACAACCCACAGAACCATTAGATACAGATCCAGAATGTATTCAAGGATGTGAAGTCAACATAGCTCCTGAAAAATGTCATTGTGCTGCTCATTTATGTGATGTAAGTTATCCTTTTCAAATTATAAAAATTACAGCAAAAAGTATTTACTGTTGTTTCTCACAACCCACGAGGTTAATGATAATATTTAATATAAATAAATGAAAAATGTTCAGATGATTAGAAATGCATCTACAGGTAAATAATGTATTTCTATGTACGCCGTATCACAACTGGGCTTTTTTTTCTTTCAGACATTAACATGTACAGGTGGTAATGCTTGTCGTCTGGTAACAGTTGGTGGTCTAGTTGAAGGAACATGCTTACCAATCGATTCTATCACCGGAATAGCTCCTGGCCAAAATGGAATCACACATAGTCTTTCAGGTAAGTTGAATAACAGATGGGGTAGATGCTCTTCTTCACAACATATGTGGTAGTTCTTGATCAAGTGCTTCAATAATGGTAACTGAATATATTCTGCTAAGGAAACATTTTGTTTTGGTTTTATTTTATGTGTAAAGAAGAGATTTGTTTGATTGAAAATGGGAAAAGATATCTAATCAAAATATATGAAGAAGATATCTATAATTGTATCGATAATTTAGGATGTGGTGAGGTGAATTCTTCTTTGTATGCTAATAGCTGTCTGAACAACGATTTTACAATTTCTGTCAATCCTGTGTTTTTATTTCAGGATGTGGTTTAAGTTTAAACCAAGGTACACCTTGTGGACGAGGACCAATTCAAAGATTTTATTTTGATTTAAATACACAGTCTTGTCTTCCATTTCAATATTCTGGTTGTGGTGGTAATGATAATAATTATGATTCTGTAACAACTTGTGAGACCACCTGTCAATCACAGCATATAGCACCTGGTATTATTGATCACCATAATTCACCAACTGGTTCCCACCCATCAGTTTCACATGGTCATGAACATCCAGATCATATAGAACCAGTTGGAACACATGGTCATGAACATCCGGGAAATCATCCAGTTGGTCCTGAACATGGCCACAACGAACCTAATCACGGAGGTAAGCGTTTGCTGTACTTAAATAGAAAATGTTTAATGATTGTGCATTTGGAATTGTAAGTGTAGTTGTAAATGTAATGTTTATGTGATTTGTCTAAACTACCAAACATTATAATTATCATATATTTTAGGTCCTATAGTAAACCATGATATCAAACTACCTGTATCGGGTACCGACCCACCTGAATGTCATGCTCTTTGTAAAAAAGTGTTAGTTCCAGAAAGTTGCCACTGCAGTGAACATCTTTGTGACGTAAGTTTTGATCAGAATGTTTTCAAAGACTTTTGATCACTAATATAATCAATACCACATCCAACCTCATTCATATGAAACAGCAACATTATTTACTGTTCTGTTACTTTGAATAAAATGAATACCATGTGTATGTAACGAAGTGATATTGTGCCACGCTCTCTTCATAGATTTTGCCTCTTTTGACTACAGATCTTATCGGCGACATAAAGGCAATTATAAGTCAGTGGATGATGTAGTTCTTATTATTATGCAGTGATTATACAATGTTTCAGCGTGTAACATGTACTGGTAAAACTGTATGTAGATTGATGAGAGAAATGGGTCGAGTTGAAGCTATGTGTATCCCTGTTGATCCTAAGACTGGAAAATCTGTGGTTGATCACCATCATAAACATATCATACCAAACGGTACGTAAATCTCCTCATATTTATTGATATGATTGAATTTAAATCTTTTTGTGACATTGTAGGGACTTTGTTCTATGTTCTTTTAACCCATAATAGCCAATACACATATACGGTCCAGATTTGAAGCAAAATCATAGCAGTCCAATAGATAAAGACTTTCTTAAATTTACCTAATTTCAGCTTGTGGCAAACCAATGGACAGAGGTCGATGTGGACCATTTGGTATCAGAAGGTATTACTTTGACCTAGAAAGACAAGCCTGTAGACGATTCAGATACAGTGGATGTGGTGGCAATGCCAATCGTTTCATGACTAAGAAGGCATGTGAAGAGATATGTATGGAGACGCGTTCCACACCTGGTATTATAGATCATCATAATGATCCATATCTTCATCCCTCTTTAATTCTCGGACAGCCAACTCATCACGGTCCCATTGAACATAACCAAGCAAGAGGAATAGATCAACATCATACTGGTCGTATAATATCACCATTGATACCTGGTAGAATAGCTATATTAAGACATGTTCAACCAGACACAGGTCATGTAGATCACCGTATTGGTGATAATTCCCATTCTAATCCTCCTTCTGCTGGTACTCGAACTCCCTTTACTATTTCTGGTATGGACATCAGACGCATTATGGGACAACTATTGACAAGGCGGACTACTTTATCACCCTCTACATTTGGATTAACTGCACTTAACAGACCCCGGTATGGATATAGACGAAGGCCATTAGGTACTTTACGTGTGTCTAAGAAGAGTAAAACTGCAAAGGCTTAGTCCATGTCCGGTTTTTAGAGAAGACTACAATGTATATAGCAGGGTTATATTAAAAATGTTATCTTATTACTCATTTATAAATCATTATTATGTTCTTTGTGTGTATAGTTGATTATACAATACAATACATGCTTATATGCGATTTGCAACCATTCATTGGGTAATTAACTTTGACAAATTACTCGATGGATCACATATATTTACATTGTTATTTAACAATAAAACAATAAAGTTAAAAATAAATAATGATTGTTATTATCATAAGCTGTAAATGCATATATGTCCAATAAAAACAGTTTTTATTTGAGAATATATCATGATTTATCCAAAAACTTAATTCTAACTTCGTTCGAATGATTGGTGGACTAAACCGATTACATATATTATACCAACTGGAATATATTTAATTTATTCATTCTGCTGTGTCTTGTATTGGACTGAGAGTTCCATGCGACATTTTTAGTATAGTACTGAGCAACCAACTAGAGAAAATAGCTCGTAATGTCGCAAAACAACTTAAGGAATTATTATATTTACATATTTACACCATAAAATCGATTGAAAATGAATATTTCGTAAAACGAAAAACAGACGAAGGCTCTGTCAGCTCGTCATTTTGATGCAGACCCGATGACGAGTTTCATCTCGTGGTGATTGTCGAAGCTGAATAAAGATTCTAGAGAGGGTTATAGAACACACATTGTGTTTCTCCGCCGTCTATATGACTTTTCTTACGCAAGTGCTTTAAATCTTGCTCAACAAAGATTAGGCCTTTTTATGATTCCAAAAAGAAAAGAAGTTGCACCTTTCCTACTTTCGAGATACGCTCGTGCAGAATATATGTTAAACTTGGCATTGAAAGTACTATTGAGCATTAACAGGGTCGTAATACGGTCTTTTTGAGGCAAAAATTCGGTTGCTTTAATATCAAGGCTTTTGGTAAACCACCTTTACCATGAATAGGCTACATTGAAATCTTTACGACAATAATTCTATGATTTCATTGAAATATTCTTTAATTGTTCAAAAAACAACTAGTACTCATAGCATTTGTGATTTTCATTTTACAGGGACAGGTAGGCCATGTTTTAACCAATCATACTTTAGTCCCCGAAACGGTAATTTTTTATCTAAGCCAATCAGTTATAGTGTTCAAAGCTCATCGTAGAAATTTAAACCTTCAAATCCACGTGCGTCAAGAATTTTCCGCGATTGAATGTTAAAATAACGACTCGTTAATTCAAGATTATATCCTGTGATATATAGAAATAGTGAGTAAAATTCCTAGTTTGAAGTATTTTTAAAGGAATTATGAGATTTTCGTACATTTCTAGTACTTATGGAGACTATTTACATATATTCAAGATAAATATCAACCCCCCAATATGGTGCAACTGTCCCTTTAACAAGACTTACAAAAATGCGAAGTTGTGCATACTTTCTGAACTTTCAGGTTGCACGGGAATACATGTACGACCGCGTACCAAAATAATAATGGGACATTAAAGATTCGACCTTTTCTCTCGTCGTATGGTGGCAATGTCTGATTTTAAACAAGGGGTTTGTGTGAACCCCGAAAAAAGAATTTTTAACACAATAATTTTATTACATGTACATAATTTACAAGTGTATAGTAATATTGTACAATATAAACAATTGCGTAAACGTGCATGTCATGACGGAAAGGGGTGGGGTTGCTGCCAATATTTATGTATATACATCAGTTCCATATACAGCAACCCAATTTAAATAATTTAAAATCTAGATATAATAAAATTCAAACCCCCGAGAAAACCGGACAAATCGTAGGTCTGGTCCAACTTAAATTAAATAAGTTAAGTATGGTATAATGGTGCAATTATTTCACCACCAATAATGGTTCATTTTAGCTCATTATGTATTTTCTGCAAGACGTAAGACATTCGCGTAATGTTCTAAAATTATTTCTGTTTCCCTGACAACCACCGTAAATAAAACGTGTGCATCGTTTTGTGTTCATATCATAATAATATCTTGGGTTAAATCCTCGACAACGTCCTGATACTCTTGGTTCTTCGCATTTATCTATAACTACATCTGAAATAAGCAACCAAAAAATTGAATATAAGGACAAACATTCCCTCGGTATTTACCCAAAAGCGAATGTCGAAGAACTACATAGGTTTGTACATTACAATTTGGCTAAATTCACGTGTAATGCGATAGAAGAAAAATGGCAAAACAGCGACATTAACTGTGGTAACGATTGTGGGGCACATGCTGTAGAAAAAGAAGTGTAGCCTCAAAACGATAAGATATATCAAAGTAAGCAATAAAGAGACGAAAAAGGGCCCTTTTTGCAATATGACCATAAAAACGCGTTAGGGTTCATCTCTGGATGATTACGTACTCGTCAAAATCCATCAAGCCTTCTAGAGTGTTTACGTGCTACAAATTGAACACATTTTCCAGAACAAGGGCAATAACTCATACCAATAATTTTTCGATTTTTCTGATTTTCAATAGTTTCATCCTTAGCTGACAACAAACACTCACACCAAGTTTCGTCAATATCTGTCAATAATTGAACCTTCTAGAACGTTTACGAGCTAAAAAATTGAACGCGTTTTCAAGAACAAGGACAATAACTCGTATTAATTATTTTTCGATTATTTTGATTGTCAATAGGGTTCATCCTTGGGTGATTACAACACTCACACCAAGTTTCGTCAAAATCCGTCCAGAATTGTTCCTTCTAGAGTGTTTACAAGCTAAAATTGAACGCGTTTTCAAGAACAAGGGCAATAACTCATACTAATTATTTTTTTATCTTTTTGATTTCAAATAGGGTTCATCCTTGGGTGATAAAAAACACTCACACCAAGTTTCATCAAAATCCGTCAAGAATTGCGCCTTCAATCCGAGAGTTTACGAGCGTTTTAAGAACAAGGGCAATAACTAATACTAAATATTTTTCCGATTTACAATAGGGTTCATCCTTGGGTGATTACAAACACCCATACCAAGAAAATCAAGAATATTGTACCTTGTAGAGTGTTTACGAGCAATTGTGGACGGACGGACAGGGTGACGACAATATACGCCCCCCCACCCGCCTATTTCAAGTGGGCGTATAAAAGGTCCATCAAATCTACACATGCATAATAAACCTTGCTATGTTGCAGATTTATCTCGAACATTCTACGGTGATTCGAATTTATAAGAAACAGAAACGTAGTGGACTCACCAATATTGGTTGATGGTCTACTAGACCAGTTCCCTAAATTAGGCATCAAAGATAATACACAAATACCACGTCCACCAATTACCCTACATGACTGATAAGCATTACATCGTCTATACTAGAAAAGAGAAAATAAATAATATTCAAAAAATCGTCAACTTTTCAATAGTTTTAATTTTTAAACTGTGCCCTTTACAGACGATGATGAGGTTCAAGATTTTGTGGGGATGACCTGTAATGTATTTAAACTATTACACCCAAACAATCTGCAGTATTTAAAAGTGGCAATGCAAAAGCTCATTGTTGGCGGCATGTGAACAGATTTTATCAATCGCTTACCGAACAGGGGTCAGAGAAGAATTGACGAGATTGAAAGGATGAAGTAGGTGGTGGAGCACATTTACACTCTCCTGGTATTATGCCATAATCACACTGTAAGGTACACGCAACATCGTTTGGCATCATCTGTACACCGAGTTCACTTTTGCATTTACATTCGCCAGGAACAAATCCATTTGGACAATCTAACATACAAGAGATACGTCCAGTATTTAAAGGTGACAGTGGCTTACATTTACACTCTCCGGGTACCATACCATTCGGACAATCTAACATACAAGCCATTCCTGCAAATAGATTTAAGATAAAAAATGCACTTTTTGAAAATTTTGGCCAATCACAACAATTGAAATACGATTATAGTAGGCTACTCTTTCTAAAACAACAACAGAGTGTATCATGTATTTTCTACGAAGGTTATTGGTCAATTTGTCCAAAATAAATCAAGGAGTGATTCCAGTCGTCACCTTTGTTGACTGCGCCAACCTCAGTCTGGGTCTTAACCATCGTCAACTGACAGCATTCATCGACATATGAATTATAAAAGAACATCTTATCTCTTATTTTGGGTAATTTAAATTGGGATTTAAAAATTGGTACGGGGAGCCTCCCTTGTATAAAATTCAATTTTGCAAGGTGTAGTCCCTCGGGTGGCCAAAAAGAGCAATCAGTTAATTCAGTTAAACCATAGTTGAAACTATATAGATGTATTTTATAGTGACTGACAACAATAAATCTTTAACACTGACTGTCACTTACAGCCTGGTTAGTTGACAGTTTTGACAACAACTATTTCGCTTTTATAATATAAACACCATAGTGTTTCTCTGTCATTTTTATCTACTATTTCATTTACGCAATTCCAGATTAACCTCCTCCTTAATTCGGTCTGTTTCACAAATCACACTAAATATTATCCTGCCCCTCGGCTTCCTTACATCATTTCAACCTGATTAAAGTGCATAGACTACTGATGGTAATGATATTTTGACAGATTGACTGGATTTGCTGTTCTATTTTAATTTATACTATTTTCAAAAAAATAACACAGTATTGGTAAAACTAACAATATTTGTGTCTATTTTTCTGTTCTTTGCCAGTGCAATTAAGAAGTTTGCCAAGTCAGCGACATAAGCTTTCTCTTTTTCGATTTCTAACTGTCGAGGAATCTTTAAGAGCACAGTCTTCGCTTTATTGTCCCATCCGAACGACCAAACATTTTTCCATATCAGATTCTTCGATAATGAATGATTACTAAGATTACTAAGTGTATTTAGTAATGATATCAATATATACATGTACTTACTTTGCGTGTGTATATACGGAAGAAACAAGAAGCCACAAAATAATACCGTATTCATCATGCCTAAAAAAATAAAAATAGAAGGGACTTATGATACATGTTAGAATAATTAATAGACAAACCATGTAGCAGAGTTGCATCAGGTGTGTTGGAGGGTACAGCTCAAATCCGATTCTTGAAGGTAATAAAAATGTAAACTAAAGACCTCACTACTTTTATTCAAATCATTTTCAGTGACATTACATCCTTATAGCTCTAATAAATTCTTGTAGTAAAGTTTTGTACTAGGGTCTCAAACACCGCCTCGCTCTTTTTAACAGTTGAAAGAATTTTAGATATCCATTGCTCTTTCCAGATCTTTTGCGGAAGTAGATATATCAAATCTGTCAATTGCTTATTATGAGAAATGCAGATTTCATTTATCTAAAAAAAAACGGCAGTGATTTAAAATGAAACGTTACCTTTCATAGTATTAAATTCCCAGATTTATAGACTTTTCTTGAAGTAACAGTCTAAGTTATATATACCTGTCCAAAGTTTCGGGATATTTATACGTTGTCTTATCTGACCTAAGGTTAAAGGTCATAGCATCATCATGTCAGAATACTCATGAAAAACAATTGATGCATGTAGTAAGTTGAATGACGTTGGTGGTTACATCTAACTGTAACCTGTTTACAATAAAAACAACCATATCACTTTATAACTATCAAACATTGTCTTATAATAATCAAACATAAAATCTGACATCAACCGTAAAAGCTGATAAAGATAAAGCAAAGAACACATCCGTCATTTTTTTAGTGACATTTCCACAAGATTTATCAGAAAAAACTATTTTGTACATCTATTTATACATGTACTAACATCCTGGATCAATTAAAGTCCAATATGATTGTTAATTTTTAATTGACACTATCAAAGTACGGATGCAGAGTTCCGTCCACAGACAGATACTTCTACTTCCTAGAGTGGCATAGGTCCTGTGAACACAACACATTGGGATAATAATGCAATGTCTCTCTCGACTTTATCAAACCTTTTACATATTGTATCCTTACCTATGGACTTTGATCTTATATGTCCAATTACTTCGGCTGGCGTTGATGATATGGTGCATTTTTTCTTTCAACTTGACGAAACAGATCTTTCACCTTTTTCATAAGGTTATTAGTACTAATTTTAATTAATTTGACAGCTTGACTTGCAATTAAGTTTTAATTGACAGATTTGTAATTAATCAAAATGGTAATTAGGAACACGGGGCTCTGAAGTCCTCTGTTAGTATTGCCAGAGGGGCGATGTACATCAGTAAGGTCACATGACTGTTGAGGAAAGAGATTACAGAGGTAATCTTCGGCATGCAGATTATCTTTTAATACCTCTTAAAAGATACTTAATAAAATTGACGTATTTGGATTTAGACATATAAAATTGATTATGTGGACTATGAACAACTACAGATACTGAAATACCAAGTTGCACAGAAGCACCTTGTATTTGAAAAGGATATCTTAAACCTAGGCCTAGGCCTAATATTTAGTTATTAAGGTAATATTTTCCAGTCAGGAGAGAGGATCTAGACTTGTAACCGACAACCAGTCTTTGTCGGAGAGCTTTGCTGATTATTATCTGGCCTTCCCAATGTCGCAATTTTGTCTTATCAGTTAGTAATACCTTGACGTTGTGAATATGATAATTGTGTTCTATTTGATAGTTGGCTAACATAATAATCAGTCCAAATATCAAAACTGGTACTTTTCAGGACGTTATGTAATTTTATCAAATCCCACGTTGAGAAATATTAACTATAGATGGGCCTCTTAACAGAATACTATATTTCATCTGAATGTTATTTCAAAGGGTGAGCTTCATAAAAAAAAATTTTTTAGCATCTTTTTACTTCTTTTTCTTTAGGCTATAACACGTAATAGATTTCTATAGTTTGGTTTAATAACTAACAAATGACACCATGGGTAATGAACCATCAATCTGTAAAGTTACTTCACAAAATTGCATTAATCACTGGAGTTGCCGAATGAAAAGTCACATGACAATAATATCACATGACATGGAAATGGCGTTGTCGAAAGTAAACAAATAATCTTGCTCTAACTCTGAATTCAGACATATCTCCAATTATACAATAATATCTGTTTACCTTTCAGGTAACTTATCATTTACATTATTTTATTTCGGTATTGCCAACGCTTGCCATTGACTTTTGTCATCTTAATGATATTCCTGCAGAATTTTATGCTTGGCCAAACTGTCAGTGTAATGTTCGAATATAATCAGAATTGCAAAAACGATTATTGTAACGGACATCGGTCCTAGTGCAGTACACTTACAACAATATTGTAACGGCCAATGGACTACTACAGTCTACATATATAACATTATTGTAACAGTCAACGGGCCTATTCGAGTACACTCATAATATTATTGTAACGGCCAATGGGCCTACTGCAGTCTACACATATAACATTATTGTAACGGCCAATGGGCCTACTGCAGTCTACACATATAACATTATTGTAACAGTCAACGGGCCTATTCGAGTACACTCATAATATTATTGTAACGGCCAATGGGCCTACTGCAGTCTACACATATAACATTATTGTAACGGCCAATGGGCCTACTGCAGTCTACACATATAACATTATTGTAATGGCCAATGGGCCTACTGCAGTCTACACATATAACATTATTGTAATGGCCAATGGGCCTACTGCAGTCTACACATATAACATTATTGTAACAGACAGTGGGCCTACTGCAGTCTACACATATAACATTATTGTAACGGCCAACAGGCCTACTCCAGTACACTTAATAACATTATTGTAATGGCCAACAGGCCTACTACAGTACAATTACAACATTATTGTACAATTTCTTATTTTAATTTAAGCAGAGTGAGATTGAATATTTTATAACATGATGTCTAAATTACCTGTAGTTCTATTATTATTGTTAAATATAATAGAGAGATATGATTGTAAACTACCAAATATAGTATTTGTGGTGGCTGATGATTTGGTAAGTCCATACACAACCCTTGTATTAATGCACTTAATTCATACCTTCATAAATTATTTTTCTAGAATAGGCATTTTGAGAATGTGCAGTGGGTAAACAAACCCAAAATGAAATATAAGAAAGTAAAATTCTAATCAGTCTGTTGTTCCATAAATTTACTAAATTTACAATATAAACTATTTGGTAAACTGGGAGAGTTATGCCAAATTGACAAACCCAGTTTCAGTTTGGCATCAGAAAAGGTTGGAAAGCCCTGCAGCATTAATGAAACTCATTATTATACTTATTCAAGTTTTAACTAGATAAAGAAAAGATGTAATTTTGATTTGACTCATTATTAGCATTAATTACTAAAGGGGTGGTATGATGTAGGATTTCATGGTTCTGATGTTTCAACACCTAATATAGATGCTCTAGCTACTAATGGTATTATATTAAATAATTATTATGTTTCACCTATTTGTACTCCAACAAGAAGTGCTATAATGACAGGCAGACATCCTATACATACAGGTAAGACTTATGTAATCAAATTCTTAGTACACATATTTATTAACCTGTATTAATATACAATATATGGCAACAAATTGCTTACAAAGTAATGCTTTCTATCTATTCATGGGTCAGGTGTCCCAGAAAGGTGAAAATGTTCTATTTTGTAAATACACAAAAGGACTGGAAGTTTTTTTTATTGTAAGTGCTCAGTTTATTTCATTCAAAGTTTAACAGAAAAAATATGTACATGTATATGTGATTATTATAGGTATGCAACATCAAGTCATAGGAAATGATACACCATATGGTTTACCATTAAACATCACAATACTCCCTCAATATTTAAAACAACAGGGTTATAATACTCATATAGTAGGGAAGGTTTGTACCTTTAAACATCACTATACTCCCTCAATATTTAAAACAACAAGGTTATAATACTCATATAGTAGGGAAGGTTTGTATCATTAAACATCACAATACTCCCTCAATATTAAAAACAAGGTTATAATACTCATATAGTAGGGAAGGTTTGTATCATTAAACATCACAATACTCCCTCAATATTAAAAACAAGGTTATAATACTCATATAGTAGGGAAGGTTTGTATCATTAAACATCACTATACTCCTTCAATATTTAAAACAACAAGGTTATAATACTCATATAGTAGGGAAGGTTTGTATCATTAAACATCACTATACTCCCTCAATATTCAAAACAACAAGGTTATAATACTCATATAGTAGGGAAGGTTTGTATCATTAAACATTACTATACTCCCTCAATATTTAAAACAAGGTTATAATACTCATATAGTAGGGAAGGTTTGTATCATTAAACATCACAATACTCCCTCAATATTAAAAACAACAAGGTTATAATACTCATATAGTAGGGAAGGTTTGTATCATTAAACATCACAATACTCCCTCAATATTCAAAACAACAAGGTTATAATACTCATATAGTAGGGAAGGTTTGTATCATTAAACATCACTTTACTCCCTCAATATTAAAAACAACAAGGTTATAATACTCATATAGTAGGGAAGGTTTGTACCTTTAAACATCACAATACTCCCTCAATGTTAAAAACAACAAGGTTATAATACTCATATAGTAGGGAAGGTTTGTATCATTAAACATCACAATACTCCCTCAATATTAAAAACAAGGTTATAATACTCATATAGTAGGGAAGGTTTGTACCTTTAAACATCACTATACTCCCTCAATATTTAAAACAACAAGGTTATAATACTCATATAGTAGGGAAGGTTTGTATCATTAAACATCACTATACTCCCTCAATATTTAAAACAAGGTTATAATACTCATATAGTAGGGAAGGTTTGTATCATTAAACATCACTATACTCCCTCAATATTAAAAACAACAAGGTTATAATACTCATATAGTAGGGAAGGTTTGTATCATTAAACATCACAATACTCCCTGAATATTAAAAACAACAAGGTTATAATACTCATATAGTAGGGAAGGTTTGTATTATAAACATCACTTTACTCCCTCAATATTAAAAACAAGGTTATAATACTCATATAGTAGGGAAGGTTTGTATCATTAAACATCACAATACTCCCTGAATATTAAAAACAACAAGGTTATAATACTCATATAGTAGGGAAGGTTTGTATCATTAAACATCACTTTACTCCCTCAATATTAAAAACAAGGTTATAATACTCATATAGTAGGGAAGGTTTGTACCTTTAAACATCAATATAAAATTGCATATTCCATCTTTGAAATGTCCAACTACCATACCAACAGCACAGAATCACCTAACTACCAACTAATATGGCTACCAACAACTACCTAGTTTGCAGTTTTTGTCATTTACCGACCAGTCTTTGAAATGTGAAGGAAACACTTTTGAAAGTAATATTCTTATTTTATTTTCAGTGGCATCTTGGTCATTTTAAAAGAGAATATTTACCAAATAATCGTGGTTTTGATTCATATTTTGGATATTTAACGGGACATGAAGATTATTTTGATCATGTTGCTGAAGGGGTAAGAAAATAGTTTTTGAATATTAATCCACCATGTTTGAAAAATCAAATCAAGTACCTAAATGGTGCAAGTGTTAAATGGGTTTCCAGTAATAAATTATAAGGTCATTAAGAAGGCAGAAGGAACTGACATAAACTCTGGTAATTTATCAAAGAATAGGGTGTAAAGCAAGCTAGTAAATATCTGTAATACATGTATTCTGTAATAGATTTAAAAAACATAATCTCTTATAATCAAATAAAGTTGTACATCCAACTGGTACTGCTATGGTACATAATTGTAAAGTATTGGCACAGTTGTATTACTCCTTAGCAAAGTGTGTTTATGTTGTTACTTAAATGGATCATAATTTATCAGTTGTGACCTGTTTTTTTTTTTCAGAGTCCATCCTGGGGTAAAGATTTCCGTCATAATTTTAATCCTGTAAGTACCATGGATAATCAGTATTCTACAGAACTGTACTCAGCAGCTGCAGATACTATTATTAGAAATCACGATCAGTCAAATGTAGGTACCATTCCTGTTGTATGTCTATATTGTTTTGAATGCTTTGTATATTAAAGAATGAGAAGATGCTAGGAAATTTTGTTTATTCATGTAGAATTTGATGATACTTGACATGTTTATATGAATAGGCCTATATTATTGTATTAACGATCTGTGTTTTGAATGGATCACTGTCCAGTTTTAACAATATTCCTCTGAATTCTAAATTATTAAATTCATTGGTAAATTATTTTGTAGACAATGCTTTTCTTGATTATTTCAGCCTTTATTTCTGTACCTGGCCCATCAAGCAGTCCATGCTGGTAATCATGCTAGTGACCCATTGCAAGCTCCTCAAAAATATGTTGACAGACATACAAATATTAGAAGTGTAACTAGAAGATTGTTTGCTGGTAAGTTTCTGTTTCAACTTACTACAGGGAAATGCAAATGAAATTACTTTAAAAGGTGGAAACAATGTTGGTCAAACATGAACCCTGGATTCGTTAATTAGCTTATAAGAGATTGTATATTATTAAATTTAAATGTTATTGCTATATTTTTTTTATTGTGTCCAGGCATGGTGTCAGCATTAGATGATGCTATAGGTAATTTAACTCAAACCCTGAAAGAAACTGGTATGATAAATAATACTGTTATTGTATTTACTACTGATAATGGTGGACCAACTAATGGTTATGATAGAAATTCAGCATGTAACTGGCCTCTTAGGTAGATTTAAATTTGTATTTTAGCCTTTTTGCTTCTGACACTCATGAAGATGCAATGAATGCACTTTACAGTCATGATGTCTTAAAGATCTCTGTGCAACAACCATGTGGTCAAGAGGGTTTAAGATCTCTATGACTCCCTTTGAAAAAAGATATTATTAGTCACCTTATTCCTGGTAGCAAGCCCAGGTTTCTCTTGTTGATACATGGTATGAATTATGATGATGACCTTTACAATTGTTTTTCAGAGGCTGTAAGAATACCATGTGGGAAGGAGGAGTCAGAGGAAATGGTTTTATTTTTAGTCCATTGTTAAATAAAACAGGATATATCAACAATAACTTGATGCATGTCACAGACTGGCTGCCAACATTATACAGTATATCTGGTGGTGATCCTGATACACTTATAGCTCAAGATGGATATAATCAATGGAATATGCTATCAAATAATGGTTCTTCAGTCCGAACTTCAGTACTTCATAATATTGATCCCATTCAAAAATTTGCTGCCATGAGAAGTGGGGAATATAAATTGATAATGGGTGATATTTCTGGTGGAAGAGATGATAGTTGGTACCCCCCACCAGACTTGAAAAAAGAAGAGTCAAGTCACATGTTGAAGTTCCATAGCATGAAAGACAATGAATATGTTGTTAATATGCAGCAACCCCAAGATGATCAAGATACAGATATAATAGTGAAGTGTGGTCCTAAGCCTATTGATGCAGACATAAATTGTAGACCAGAACATAAACCATGTCTTTATCATATTCCATCTGATCCTTGTGAATATACCAACATAGCTGATCAACACCCAGATATCGTGGCAGATATCATCCAGCAGATTGATAAATACAGAAAAACTATGGTTATTCCTGCAAATAAACCAGGTGATCCTAAATCAGACCCCAGATTACATGGTGGATTCTGGGGTCCCTGGTTATAAATACAGTCCATATCATTCATATCAGAATTCATTTTTTTGCATGACAAATCGTTGTCACACTTTGTTATCATTCTGTTATTTTTGGGAAGGTCTCTAGCACTGTTTTTGTTATGTCACTTGTTTTTTTTTTTTTTAATATAGAAACAATGTTGTTTTGATATCATATTTTTATATTTAATATTGTGTCATGTTACATATATTTATTGTTACTGTTATTGCCAAAAAGTAAAAAGAGCTATATTCTATATATTATATTATTAATTCTGTGGTTGTGTGGAGTGGACACATCAAGTAGATCCTCTGAAAGGGATGCTGAGGTGATATACGACTATAGAGAGGCATCCTGTGTTTTGGAAAAGGGACTTTAGAACAACTATAATAATCTCTTGAAAAGATCTTACCACTTGAAATCTCCAATATGTAGTCAATATGCATTCTCAGTGTAGTCAAGGGAAATAACTCCTAAGCTTTAAAAACATTAAATTAATGCATAATTTATCAACATAACACATATAATGTCAATTTTTAAATCCAGCCAAGCCAAGATTCAAAAATTTTGCCTTATATTTATTGCTGTGTATCATCTGAAACCATACCAATATTACAGGTATATTAATTTTTCAAAATTGGATGAATACTGTAGTCTCTGGCTTTGCATTTTTTAGTCAAGTCAAGGGCAATAACACATCTCTTAAATAAGAGATACAGCCTAAAGCGTGCACCATACAAAATAAGTTTGGATGAATAATCTTAAGATTTACATATGTTTTTGGTATAAAAAGTTTTTGAAAAAAAAAATTTATTTCAAAGGTAGATTTAACAACCAACAAAAATGTATACATATAAATATGTGTGTGAAAACAGCATATAATCAATAATAGTTTAGCCAAAGTAACATATATATACATCATCAGCATGAAACATAGGTTTAAGATTAAGAGGAACTATCAAGCGTTACAGAATGACCATGTAGTAATTATAAACTAATATGAAAATAAAAATAAGTCACAAATGAAAAACAGATGAAATTATTTACATTTGTCAAAAAAGTCACATTATTTCATCAGAGCATGAAAGGGATAATGTTTATTCGATTTCTCAAAAACCTAGTAAAGAACATTTTAAAACGGTCGTTGTTCCAATTTTGGCATGGATTTTGACACATACAAATCAAGATTTAAATCTGATGATAAATCTTAATAAAAAAAAGTAACAAAAAAATAAATTAATATCAAACTAAGCAATCGTTGAAAAATGAAGAAAAAATAGAAGTAAATTGATAATTGGAATGCTACTGAGCAACAATTTTATAAAATTTCAATATTAACAGGACTTTTTTTTACTTAACCCAAGGCACCCAGGTATTGTTATGATATTTTGGGTCACCTTTGGGATCAAATGGTTTATTTCCAGGAGGTACCATTCCCTTGCTGTAATCCTGTAATCTCTGTAATAATTCCAAGACTAAGTCATGGTTAGAAGCAGCAATATTATTATACTCGCAGGGATCAGAAGGTATATGATAAAGACATGGGTAAACTTTAGGATCACAATTAGTGCTAGCATTAGCTGGTTTTTGTCCACACTGTACCTTCACAGTGGTATGGGGAACTTTCATATTGACCACATTCTGTCTGTCATTATATATCTTTTCCTCATAGTCTATTGTTGAATATGATTTATAATTATCAACATGTAAATTAACTGTATCTTCTTCTAGTTGGTATGGTGGATACCAGCCATCATATCTCATATCAATATTACCAGTTAATAACTTATAATCATTAACACGTATAGCAGCTTTCTGTTCAATAGGGTCTATATTATGTAATATATCAGTTCGTGGAGAATGATCATCATTATATGATAACATATCCCACATATCAAACCCATCCATATTTCTTAATCCATTAGGATCACCCCCAGCAGCTCTGAATAATGTAGGTAACCAATCAGTAACATGCATCATTTGCTGCGAGACATATCTCTGGGTCTGTAATAATGGACTGTATATTAAACCATTTCCTCGTACCCCACCTTCCCATAATGTTGCCTTCAATCCTCTGAAATATTTATAAATGTCAGATTATAGATATATATTCATATCATAATACATGAAATACACCTCGTTTAACTGGATCTTTGAAGACAAATATTTTACCTTAGTGGATAGTTACTTGCAGCATTCCCATCAAACCCATTAGATGGACCTCCATTATCAGTTGTAAATACAATAATGGAATTAGACAACATTCCTTCTTCTGATAGAGCATCAACTATAGCACCAACAGCATCATCTAATGCTGATACCATACCTATATTGTAACACAAATATATATACAATACTAAAACAATCTTAATTGCATGCATCATTATCATTTGTACATATTATAATCAAAACATTAACCTAAAAGGAACATTGTCAAGATCTACTTATAACATTATAAATATTTCCTCATATTACATTATAAAAATATCCTGATATGTAACATTATAAAAATATCCTCATATTACATTATAAAAATATCCTCATATGTAACATTATAAAAATATCCTGATATGTAACATTATAAAAATATCCTCATATTACATTATAAAAATATCCTCATATGTAACATTATAAAATTATCCTCATACTACATTATAAAAATATCCTCATATGTAACATTATAAAAATATCCTCATATGTAACATTATAAAAATATCCTCATATTACATTATAAAAATATCCTCATATGTAACATTATAAAAATATCCTCATATTACATTATAAAAATATACTTATATGTAACATTATAAAAATATCCTCATATTACATTATAAAAATATACTCATATGTAACATTATAAAAATATCCTCATATTACATTATAAAAATATACTTATATGTAACATTATAAAAATATACTCATATGTAACATTATCAAAATATACTTACATGTAACATTATCAAAATATACTCATATATTGCATTATCAAAATATACTCATATATTACATTATCAGAACCCTATGTGCACATAAAAATATTAAAATTGCAATAACATACTTCTATGTAATTTTATCAAATTAATTCTCCCAAATAGCTTAGCCAAGTCAAGTTCAGTATTTTGTTTAGTTTAAAGCATTTGTAGATTTACAATGCATATATGACATTCTGGATTTCTGCACAATTGAGATATTTTATACATTTTACCCACCAGCAAATGTTCTTCTATTTTTATTCTGTATATGAGGAAACCTATCAATATATTCTAGTGGTGCCTGCAAGGGTTCTTCATCTAGGTTACCGCTATGTACAGCTTGATATGGTAAATACAGAAATAAGGGCTGAAAATTCCAATCAATTCTATTTACAAAAACATTGTCTATTAAACAATAAAATACAAGTAACAAGTTGTATGATTGACAAAAATATAAAGATATTCTTAGCTTTACCAGGTAATCAAACTGCTTTTCAGATAGACAAGTCTAATATGAAAAAATTATCCAACAGTCATAATCATTAATCATACTTCTAGAAATATGATTTCATTATCGTTGTTAGCCAAACAAGGGACATGCATTTTCTGGAAAATCTAAAATGATAATTTAGACTGTTGTTTTTATTTTACGAATGAAATGTTTTAAATCACCTAGTGTAAAAGACTTACTTTACTATGATCTTGATTCTGTATTATAGTAACAGCTTGTTTAGTAAATAATTCAGTAGAATAGGTACCATTTTCAGTTGATAGTACTGTCATATTATCACGGAAATCTAAACCATACTGATTCTGTAACACAAATAAACAGTTAAAACAAAATACCAAAGATATTTGTCAGATGTAAATGTGTACTGCACTTTGCTTTCCTCTAGATACTTGCAAAAATTTGGGTCAGAACTAAATGGGTTCCAGTGCTAATCTGGTTGCTAATCTGAACTGGTCAAATAAATTTGGTAAAAAGAGCAGGACTTTGCAGCTAATTTCTAAATACCTTCTATGCCAATGAGATATCCAAGTGCTTGAATCAGAAAAGAAATAATATGAGTTTTTATATGCAAATCTGATCAATAATTAACATATTATTGAAAGGTGGATTTTTCATGTACAAATAGGAACAAATATAAACAAGTTGGGTTTCAGTCTAAAAAAAATGTTTAAAGAGTTCTGGAATCTTAGAGGGCATCTAATCTAAATTTACCAAAGAATATATAAACTAAATATACTACAGATGGCTATCTAATACCCTAATAATATGCCTTATTTTAATAATGTAACCTTGTACGGTACCGTTTCTGCTTCAGCTGTATGATCAAAATAATCTTCAGCTCCCAACCAATAGCCCAGATGAGTTTGGAAACCTCGGAACAACGGAGTGTATTCTTGAGCAAAAAATCCCAAGTGCCACTGAAAATAATCAAAAATGGATATCATGTGCATGTACTTCTGATACATCCCAATCCCTTACAATGGAATCAGATTTGCTTTTGTCAATAATTAAAAAAACATCAATGCTAGAAGTATCAAGGTGGCGATATCAAAACTATGCTATCTAAAACAGTCAAGAACAATCAAATTAAAGAATGTTAAACTATACCTTGCCTACTATATGTGATTCATATCCTAATGTACTAAAAAACTGTGGCATAATAGATTCATTTAATGGTAAACCATACGGTTGATCACCCACTATAACTGAATGCTGCATTCCTAATGATTAAGACAATATTTTACAAAATTTTATTAAAAAATTAATCCAAATCACTGAACCTGAATGGTTTGAATTAGTATAAATATATTGTGATCTGTTTCATACTCAATATGAGGCATGGGCTCTAAAACAATTTGACAAATTTCACCCTCATATGAACTGGACATCATACTCAAATATCTTGTTCATTTATTGGATTGGATGTAATAAAATCCTAAAAGGCATGAGCAGGATATAATCTTCTAAATTTCACTTCATTTGTGAATGTTAATTATCTACTGAAAGGGACAGACCTTGACCTAAAATTTGCTGTAGGTAGCTAGAGTAAAATCTATCAGATTGTTAAGAGTGTTATCTTGGTATATCTTTATATTCCTAAAACAATCAGGAAGCTACTCTTCTGACTTCAGAAGAACTTCACTAGAACTCACCTGTATGTATAGGATGTCTGCCTGTCATTATAGCACTTCTTGTTGGAGTACAAATAGGTGAAACATAATAATTATTTAATATAATACCATTAGTAGCTAGAGCATCTATATTTGGTGTTGGTATTTGTTCTGAACCATGAAAACTGACATCGTCCCATCCCTAAAATATAAATATTGTCTTCCAATATATTTGTTACCTTGTTTGAACATTGCAATATCTTCCCCCAAGCTTAAACAGCTTTTTACAGAACATGAGTTATTCCTAGTAAGAGCAAATTCTGAGAGAAAGAGAAGTATTTCTATGATATTGGCATTTTCAACTGCATTCCAACCCGCACAATAAGATACATCCTTACCTTTGTTCAAAAATACAATAAAGTGAGCAAAAACATCCATATACACCAAAATCCCTTTAAAAGTCTTATTATGAAATAAATCTTACCAAGTCATCAGCAACAATAAATATTATATTTGGTGCTGCAAGGGTCAATAAACTCTGATACAGTAATAATATCACTACTTTATAGAACATCTTTAAATCTGAAATAATCAAAGACGAAATGTTTTAAACATTAAGCATAACATATCTATCATCTCCTACTACTTGCCAACCAAGGAATTTCCAAGCATTTACAGGAGCAGAAAGATTTAAATTGTATACCATTAGCAGTTAATAGCTAAGATAAAGCAAACAGTGTTTGTTACTTTATACTATGGAGACTTTCCATAAACATCATAGACTCACCTTGTGTATATTGCAATTTTTTCTCATATGTTTGACCAACAGGACCAAGTATTGTTATTATATTCTAATTACAAAGTAATATGTAAACAATAAAAATATAAATAATGATTTCATACAACAAGCTGTCATTTGACAGTTTAATAATAGTCACACAAGTTTTTTATTGATTTAAAGAAATTAAATCCTGTTCGGTGAAGCTCAAACTAAAGTTTCTGTCCATGAAAAAAGGGACATCGGATCATCAATTAAAACTAATAGGTTTATTTCATTTTCCACATTCAATTTCCATTCACAATAGGTTGACCAGAATAATGAGAAAATTAAGCTCTAGATAATTTTAAAACATTCAGAAATTCAAGTTTAGAATTAATTGATCCAATAATTATGTATCTGGTATATAGTGCTATGATCTGGGTTAATCATTCCATAAGATACCAAGTATTCATTATAGTCAGAGAGTAAGCCAAAACAGTTGGCAGCAAAACTGCCTAATCTTTATTAATCAACACAACTCAGCTCAGGTGCAGAAACAAAATCAAAGCTACTTTCGTTTTCATTCATGTCTGAGCAACTTTAAATGTATTCAATAACAAAGTGTCATTAAAAAATACTGATGTATATAGAACGATTTCAAAATGCTTAACCATAATTAGCCTACCCCAAATAGGACCAACAAAAGAATTAACAGTTTAAGAGCAGCAGAATCACCTCTTTCGTCTTTTAACCACTCTTCGTTTAGCTTTTTCTCTTCCTCACGTGATGCACTGATCACATGATTTGAAATGTAAACAGTATTCATAACGATTCGGTTTTCTCGATTATCTCAAATCTTATATGAATATTGAAATGAAAAGAAGTAAAGCCCAAGTTATAAATAGTTCTCAATGGCGCAGGCATTATATGATATCTATGGGCGCAGGGGGCCTTAAACATATTATCGTTTTCCATAATACCATACAGTTCTATGGTATTACCAATGTCTAGAGAAAGTAGGCCACACGACGAAGGGAATGATTTGAACACGCTGGTCGGAGGACTGAAATTTAGTTCAAACCCGTGTGTGCTACAAACTGTACTTTTAAAAGATCCCTAGGAACTGTAGTCTACAGACAAAAATTCCCTTATTGCATATTGTATGGTGTTGTCAGTCTTCATTCAACTGATGAAATAGAAAAAGTAGGATGCAAATCTCTGAAAGACATCTTTCTCTAGACATGGGTTCGGGAAAACGATACGTTCAAGACCCCCGTACCTTCAAGGTATTAGAGGCTATAAAATGAAGCAGACGTTTCAGAATTTTATATATCCTTCACCCAGAAACACACAACCATTGTTTTTTGGTGTTTTTCATCAGTGAAAAAGTTTCCAGATAAGCTGTGTTCGATTTGTCTCCTTATTTGGGTTAGCTCTGTGCAGAAAAGAACGACCAATCGAACGAACTCTCAACATATAGCCTTTCACTATTGTTTTAAATCCGACTCAGGCCCGTAGCTACCAAAAAATAGATTACCCCCTGAAAAATTTATGACATTTTGACCGACCAAACTTAAACATCGAAGGCATCGGTTCGTATCTTGATTAGCAGACCTAAACCATATTAAAGGGGTATAACGAATTTAGAAACAATATTTACAATACAATACAAGTCTGATCAAATTTAGGCACTGAATGTAGTAAGGGCCGCCATATCTGGACAAAGCACATCCTAGCCATACACCCCTAACATACATCAAATTTTTTACATAAGGGGAAGTAACTTGTCCTGCACTGAAATTGTGAACATGGTGATTTTGACAACAAGCTATTTAAAGGGACTGTAAAAAGATTTTCAAAACTTGTTGTGCATTGGAACCATTTATGACCATATTTGCATCATTCCAATTTTCCGTTAGATGTCCGTTGTTCCTAATAACAAATCTTATAATGTGAAGCTTTTGATCAGTTATTATAGTTTATCGTGGGTAAGTGTGCTGGAGGAAAACTATGTGGAAGAGATTACTACTTGTTAACCGTGACAATGGAGAAAATGTAACTTTGACATATAATTGATTTTGAAATTTGATAATCGATAATCGGAAAAATAAATTCTTAGTGACGATAATCGATTATTTTACCAAGTCTTAGTTGCGATGTCGGCCATGCAGAATTCGAATATCGTTTGGCTTCGGTATTTCGAACCACCCTTACGACGTATCCATATTATGTCAACGAGAGACCGAGTTTACAATATGTCGTGTATAATTCGGCCGACTATGGTCGTTATTCCCGCCTGTTGAATTGGATTAAATGGAAATATTTTACATTTGAAAGAGTAATAAATGTCAATTAGACCGTAACATATAGTATAGAGTAACCCAGCATGACCAGTACGACAGTAGGTCTATCTACTAAAATGTATTTTTATGGGAGAGCTATAGAATATAATTTACAGCTATAATTCTTCTGTATCATAAAGAAACTCGGAAACAGGTGTCTTTAAATAAATTAATCTAGGATATGCCTTACTGTAGGTCAGGGTGATACACTACTATATTTGTAACTTGACCTTGTAGTGGTGCAGGTTAACTCCACAAAACAGGTCGATTGTGCATTTTCCCTTAAAAGCAATTTCCGATGGCCCCTGGACTAAATATGCTTGTATTGTATCTGTCTAACCATGTGTCAAGTTTCATGTTTTTAAGGGGAAGTGCACAACTGACCACCTTAGCCGCCTCACCATTGTGATTTCTTTTCAGGATTGTGGAGTTTGGAGAGGTAAATGTTAGTCTCAGCATTGTAATTGTTAGTAATAGGCCTTCAAGAGAGTTTGAGACATGGATGGGTTATTTAATGTGGTCACAGTAAACAGTTTTATCGATTCTGTTGCTATGTATAGACATGTTTCACATGTTACGTTTATAAATTATGCGGTGCAAATAGTTCATCTATACTTAAAGTATCATGATGTTGTCTCAGGCATGAACTATTCTTATAGATCTCAATGGCAGGTTCTAAAACATTAAGATTAAGAGGTGGTACATGCTAGCACAATAACTTGGATATCATAGATTCAATTTATTGATGGTGCTTTTTACATGTGATATCACTTTATCATCATTTTGTACACAATATACACTTCATTCCGTACCTGAACTTCAAGTGGAAAGAAATATCAGTATATGTTCTCAAGCGAAATATCCAATCAGATAATCTTTTTATTTCTTATAGATTCGTGAAATCAGAGCTGTTTATAAATAATATGGTTGCTGATAAATTGTATGGTAACGAGAGACATCATGCACTCTATATTGTACTTTATATTATATGCTTTAGTGGAAAATTCCAGTTATGAAAATAAAGATTGCATAAGTAGGCCTATACAATGGATATCAATAGCCCCACGCCCCCTCCTTTACTACCTGAGCTCTTGCCCTCACGAACATTTGATTATGCCCCTGGCAGTGTAAAACACTTTCCTATATATTGAATTGTTTTTTTTTTAAAAATATCTTATCTTTTTGTTTGACCCTGTGAGGGAATTAGCCAGTTCAATGACCTTCACCTTACCGGTAAATTTCCCCGCTGACTAAATTAGCATATAAATGTTGTATTCGCAAGTACCGAGTTATTCTTGATTTTAGTCTCACAATTCACTGACAATAACTGGATATTGTTATCCAGCCATTTAAAGGTAATACAATTGACTTTTTAATTTATTTTGATTATCTATGCATTACTTTAATTGGCTTTGATTTCTAGGCTGTATATAATGATAGTTTGATACTATTGTCTATTATATATACAGTAGACTCATAAACATACAGTGTAAATATCGGAATTGTTTCTCATGTCAGAATGTTATGATATTAATCACACGATTAAGACACGTGTATGTTAAAATTTTACTTTTTATCTGGATGACATTGTTGAAGTTGCAAGAAATAGCTTCTGTTATGTAGCATTGCATTTGAATACTGATTATCCCTTGGCAATTGAATAAATGGCACAGTTTTGACAAAGGTAGTGGCACTGGAGCACACAGGAAAAGCAAATTTGCCCTCCTAGAAAAATGGATTGCACGCCCACTTTATTCTGTACAAAATGATTTTTACACGTTTTTTCTCCAAAATATGTGTCAAAATAGATTAAAATCAATTCAATTTTTTTAGGAAAACCCACTCGGACGTTCCAGGGGAGGCTTACGACGCCTCCGTACTGTTGCGGCATTTTGAATACAGCCTCGGCAATTGTCTCCCCATTGAGTCTGTCCCTTCAACAAGTTCAATGTAGTTACACTTATAAGTAGTTCTATTCTGATCATACTACATCACCGTCAGAATAGTTATCAGATTGTGACTTGTTGACACAGAGTAGTCATTGCCGAAATGTTGTAATACTCCACAGATAGTAGTATCTGTTCATGAACCAAATGTGACTGATAGTCTCAAAAACTTCATCGAAATGCAATGCCATCTGTAGTCTCTACGAGAGAGAGTGTGAAGAATGGACATAAGCCACATCATATACATAAGAAAAATTCGGATGCCTGTGCTTTTGCCTTCCAATACCAAAGATGGTATCTTGATTGTCACATTTTAATTGTAGGTCACAATGTCCTCTGAATTTAACAACGGTGTTTCTTCCATTAAAAGTAAGATATTCTATTTTAAGAAATTTCTGCTTAACCGTTTCTGGAACTATAAATGTAACCACAATTTGTAAGGAATGAACTAAAAAGGGGACATGCATTCTAAAGAGAAAAAAAAATTCCACATCAGCTTAATGAGCTCATTGAACTGCCTTGCCGTATAGTATTCTATTTAAAATATAAAATAAACACCAGCTATGCTGTTTCTTATCCTAGATATATTTTTTTCAGAAACTAGACAAACACTAGATGAGAAATTTTTAAATGATATATTTGAGATTATGATGAAAGATGCTTTAACCGAAGGCACGAGCGTAAAAAGGTAATCCGAGAGAAAGAAAGTTACATCCTTTCGGCTTTCGACCAAAAGGTTCCACATTACATTTTTTATGATCAATTTCCGAGCTCCCGGTCTACAAGACATAAGTGTTAAAGTTTCCTTTATTATACACTGCACTGTACCTTAAGTATACAATGTGCAATAGAGTTATTTAAACGTACGGATCATTTCATATTTATGATGCTCAAAAATAACATTTTTCAGCAAAGTTGTTGAATGGAAACATCCACATGAATTAGAAAAGTTAATGGATCTAAAAATAAAAGAAGACGGTACAAGTAAACCCACCTTGTTAGATATGTGTAGACAGATTGTAAAATATAGTGTTAAAACTGGTAAGGATACACTATTGAATTCATCCTC